AGTGGCCTTTGAGTGCAGGGTGGCGAGAGCGACTGAAGCTGGGACTGGACTGGGGTGGCTGGGACTGGGCTTTATACTGTGAAGGGCTTCATGCGCTGTGGCTCAGGGGCTTCTTGCAGAGCTGCAGCATGCCAAGAAGCCCCTGAGCTGCAACATGGCAAGCACCCCCAGAGCCACATGGTTCTGGGACTGCTTGCCACCCCACAAGGCAGGGTGCAGGGCGGCCAAAAGGACAGAGACAGGGTGGGAATAGGCAGTTGGGGGAGTTGAAGGGGAGGCAGTCCCTTACCTTGCAAGAAACGAGGCTCAGGGCTGGGAGGCACCAAACCCAGAATGGCTTGGATTGGGGTGGGTCTTTGGCTAACAACTGGTGGAATTCGCTTAACAGCGGCAATGGGGAATGCTGGGATTGCTGTCGCTAAGCAATGCAGTCATATGACATTGCACATTATGACCGCATTGCTTAGTGATGGAAATTCTGGTCCCAGTTGTGGTTGTAAGTCAAGGACTATCTGTATGACAGTTGGATGCAGGGGTATTATGTGTTAATGAGGACTGATGCCAAGGCCCACATAACATACACCATGACAGCATGAATTCCCATGGCTAGTGGATTGTGGTGAAGTATTATTCAAGTCTCAGCAATAAATTTATTTATTGAGAGCCAGACTGGTGTAGTGGCTAAGGTTAATAGAAACCAGGAGACCATGAGTTCTGTAATAGAAACCAGGAGACCAGGCCTCCCTTAGGCATGAAAACCAGTTGGGTGACTTTGGGCCAGTCGGTCTTAGCCCAACTTGACTTCACAGGGTTGTGGTTGTGGGAAAAACAGGAGGGGGAAGCATTAAGTGTGTCTTGAATTCACTAAAAAGAAAGATGGATAAAAAAGAAAGTACAGTGGTACCTCTAGTTACGAACGCCCCTCCTTACGAATTTTTCAAGATATGACCAGCTCCGGCCCCAAAAATTTACCTCGAAATGCAAACTCCGCCTCTCCTTGCGAACCGGATCCGCGGCCATTTTCCCTGCTGCCACGCGGTCGCGGCTTCCTGTGGGCGAGATCGCGGTAGCAAGGAGACGTTCGGTGAGGCTTGTGATGTGT